AAAATAAACTCAAAATGACTTAAAGGCCTAAACATAAGACAAGATACTATAAACCTCCTAGAAGAAACACAGGTAAAACATTCTCTGGCGTAGATCTTAGCAACGTTCTCCTAAAGCAGTCTACCCAGGCAATAGAAATAAAAGCAAAAATGAACAAATGGGACCTAATTAAACTTACAAGCTTTTGCACAGCAAAGGAAACTCTAAACAAAATGAAAAGACAACCTACAGAATGGGAGAAAATATTTGCAAATGATGCAACTGACAAGGGCTTAATTTCCAGAATATACAAACAGCTCATACAACTCAATAACAAACAAACAAACAAATAACCTAATCCAAAAAATGGGCAGAAGACTGATACAAGCATTTCTTCAATGAAGACATACAATGGCCAATAGGCACATGAAAAGATGCTCAGTAGCACTAATTATCAGAGAGATGCGAACCAAAACTACAGTGAGATGTCACCTCACACCAGTCAGAATGGCCATCATTAAAAAGTCCATAAACAATAAATGCTGGAGAGAGTGTGAAGAAAAGGGAACCCTCCTACCCTGTTGATGAGAATGTAGTTTGGTGTAGTCGTTATGGAAAACAGTATGGAGATTTTTTTAAAAAACTAAAAATAGACTATATGAGCCAGCAGTCTCACTTCTGGTAATATATCAAGAGGAAACTCTAAATTCGAAAAGATAACATGCACCCCAATGTTCACAGCAGCACTATTTACAATAGCCAAGACATGAGAGTAACCTAAATGTCCACTGACAGGTGATTGGATAAAGACGTTGTGATATGTACAATGGAATACTGCTCAGCCATGAAAAAAGAACAAAATAATGCCATTTGCAGCAACATGGATGGACCTGGAGATTGTCATACTAAGTGAAGTAAGCCAGGAAGAGAAATAAAAATACCATGCAATATCACTTATATATGGAATCTTAAAAAAGGCACAAATGAACTTCTTTACAAAACAGAAAAAGACTCACAGACATAGAAAACAAACTTATGTTTCGTCTTTTACCAAGGACCTGCCAACATGGGCCATGTTCACACCAAAACCATGGGGAAGGTGGCCCAGGCCATCACTGAGACGTAGTAAACATTCCTGTGCAACAAATTCCACATCAACACACATGTGTGCAAGGAGATCGCCGTTATTCCCAGCAAGAAGTTCTGCAACAAGATAGCAGGCTGTGTCACATATCTGATGAAGCTGATTCAGAGAGACCCAGCGAGAGGTACCCCATCAAGCTGCAGGGAGAGAGAGAGAGGGATAATCATGTTCCTGAGGTCTCAGCCCTGGATCGGGAGATCAGTTGAAGTAGATCCTGACACTAAGGAAATGCTGAAGCTCTTGGACGTTGGCAGTCTGTCCAACCTGCAGGTCACTTAGCCTATGGTTACAATGAATTTCAAACCACCATGTGGAGCTGTTTGAATCTTTCTGCCATGGTTTAATATTTTCAGTAAATCTCAACAACCAAAGGGGAAGAGGAAGAGGAAGAAGGAGAAAGAAAACAAACTTTTGGTTATCAGAGTGGAAAAGGGACAGAGGGATAAATTAGGAGTTTGGAATTAGCAGATACAAACTACTATATATAAAATAGGTAAACAACAAGGTCCTGCTGTATAGCACAGGGAACTATATTTAATACCTTATAATAGCCTATAATGAAAAAGAATGTGAAAATGAATATAAATATAACTGAATCACTATGCTGTAAGTCAGAAATTAACACAACATTGTAAACCGACTATAACTCAATTTAAAAAAAAAACAACCTGTAAGGTAGAAGGATCATAATTCATATAGCTGGATCTTATTCTTTTCTTCTTTATTGAGAAAAGCTATTACTAAATAGATCTTAAGTATGAAATATCAGTTACAATCATATCTGGTTATCATTTCTAACTGGTTTACTAATACAGTAACTTGTGGACTGAGGCAAGTTCTACACACCTGAAGTAAAACAAGGGTGTCATAATTAGAAGTGATGTTATTTCTGACCACAAAATACTATGCAGCCAAAATTTAAAAGAAAAATAAAACCTCTCTATGTGGAGATATTAAAAGAAATACACGACGTATCATTATGTGAAAAAAAGTTGTGCAGAAGATTGAGGAGAAACATAATGTATAAACTCACCTGTTTATAAAAAATGCTTGTGATATCTCTTGAAGGATTTTCAAGAAGCTGATAACTGTGGAAGCCTGAATAGCTAGGAAACTGAGGAAAGAATAATGCTTATTTTTCACTGTATACCTTTTTTTCCTTTTTGAATTTTATGCCATGTGTACATAGTTATCAGTTCAAAAAATAAAGAATAAGCAATCACATAAGTTTTTTTTAAGCAAGAAGACATTTACAAAGGAGATGAAGGAAAAAGATTTTTATTAAAATGTCTCCCTGTCCCCTCCTGTGTACAGGGGGAAATCTAGTGTCCCTTGCAATATCCCCAAGGATTCTTGAGGGGAAGCAGGGATCAGCATCTCTCCTAGTCACCTCCTATTCTGCAATCATGATTTTGCTTGGTTCTTAGGCTCAACCCTGAGTCTTGCCTCTACATATGCTACACATCACTGTAAACAGTAGCAGTAGTCACTGGCTCTAACTCAGCCTATTTTTCCATTAAAGTTCCCTGTCCTGATCTTAGAGCTCTTTGCAAAACCTTCTTTAATGGTAACACAGATGGTGGGGAAAGGGTATAGCTCAAATGGTAGAGCACATGCTTAGCGTACACAAGGTCCTGGGGTCAATCCCCAGTACCTCCTCCAAAAATAAGTAAATAAGTAAACCTAATTACCTCCCCCCCCAATTTTTTTAACTGTTTTTAAACTAGTAACATAAATGCAGAAGTCTTTTCTACTGCTTAGTGCACAATCAAAAACTTTGATGTATTAGTCCCAGCTGCCTCCATCCCAGTGGAACCAGCAGTCAGCCACAGCCACCAAGTCATCCAAAGCTCTGAAACTACATATGACCTCTGTGAGCATCCTGTCCTTGTCCTTCACTACCTGTTCCAGAGATATGCCTTGCTGGGCATCTCTGAGGTGTGACCAAGTCACACATCAAAGTCCTCAACTCTTCTCCTGTTCCAGCATCCACAGTTTCTGGCAGCACATGGCCTCCTCCAGGGCCTCCACTCCTTGTCCAGCTGCCTGCCCTACAGTGTAAGCCCAGCCTGTAGGGGAGGCTCTCCCAGAACATGCAGTAGGATAAGAACATTGGACAAATCAAAGCACACCTGCCAGGGACCTTCCATTTTCCGGGAACTCTGTAGCCATAGATTTACACCCTGTTTTCCAAGATCCTGTCTCATTAGCCTCTTCTGGAATTTCTTGGTCTTGATCCCTCTAGGAAACTCACACAATCCTGCATACATAATGCTCTCTTCTGCCTAAAACTTCCCTTCTTGAACTATAGGTTCAAGGACCATCTCAAGTAGTTTCAATAAGTTCTCTGACTTTGAAGTCTTGTTAGAGAACTGAAATATCCCATGCAGTTTAATTAATTCTTTTTGGTGGCGGGCTGAGTAATTAGGTATACTTATTTACTTTTAGAGGAGGTGCCGAGGATTGAATCCAGGACCTCGTGCATCCTAAGCATGCACTCTACCACTTGAGCTACACCCTCCCCCA